CCTCCTCCTTCTCCTCCGTTCATCCTCCTGTTGCTGCTGCTGCTGCTGCTGCTCCTCCTCCTCCTCCTCCCGATCCTTTACCTCCTTCTCCTCCTTCTCTTCCTCCTCCGCCTCGTTCTTCACCTCCTCGTCCTCCTCCTCTTTCTCCTCCTCCTCCTCCTCCTTCTCCGCCGTTCCTCCTCCTGCTGCTGCTGCTGCTGCTTCTGCTGCTCCTCCTCCTCCTCCTGCAGCTGCTCCTCCTCCTCCGATCATCCTCTGATCCTCTTCCTCCTCTCCGCCTCGTCCTTCTCTTCCTCCGCCTGCTCTTCTACGCCTTCTCCGCCTTCTCTCCGCCTCCTCCTCCGCTGCCTCCTCCTGCTCCTCCTGTTCCTCCCCCTTCCCCCCTCCGCTTCTCGTCCCTGATCCTCTTCCTCCCTTTCCTCCGCCTCCGCCTCCTCCTCCTCCTGCTCTCCTCCTCCTCTGCCCTCCTCCCCCCTCCTCCTCCTCCTCCTCCTCCTCCTGCCCCTCCCCTTTCTGCTCCTCCCTCCTCTCCTCCTCCTTCTCCTCCTCCTCCTGCTCCTCCTCCTCCTCTCCTCCTCCTCCTCTTCCTCCTCCTCTCCTTTTCCACCTCCACCTCTCCTCCTCCGCCTCCTCCTCCGCCTCATCCTCCTCTCTGCTCTTCCCCCGCTTCCTCCTCCCCCCTTTGCTCCTCCTCGTCCTTCCCTCCTCCTACTCCTCCTCCTGCCCCTTCCCCTCCGTTCCTCCTCCTGCTCCGCCTGCTCCTTCTCCTCCTGCTGCTCCTGCTGCTCCTCCTTCTCCCCGTTGCCCCTCCGCTCCTCCTCCTCCTCCTCCTGCTGCTCCTCCTCCTCCTCCTGCTCCTGCTCCTCCTCCTCCCTCTCCTCCTCCTCCTCCTATCCTCCTCCTTCCTCCTCCTCCTCCTCCTCCCTCCTCCTCCTCCTCCTCCCTCCTCCGTCTCATCCTCCTCCTCCCATGCTCTCGTCCTCCTCCTCCTCCTCCTCCGCTCCCCTCCCCTTCTTCTTCTTCTTCTGCTTATTCTTCTTCCTCATCCTCCTTCTCCCTTTCGCCTCCGCCTCCCTCCCCGCCTCCGGTCCCTCCTCTTTCCTTGGCTGAAACTCTTCACTGCGTGACACCCAGGTGGCTTGTTCACCCAGAATATGTCGAGGACTGCCTGACCAGTCCTGATCCCCTCTTGCTCGCATGTTCATCCTGCTCCTTCCTTCCCGTTTCCTCGGCATCCCCCTCTCTTCTCATCATTCTCGACTCTTCTGTCATCCTCATCGCCCTCATACCACGTCCCTTCCTTCATCCACTTTCTTTCTTTCTTTCCAGCAAGGCGCGGTTCACATGCCCATTGTTGCCCGTTGTGAAGTGCAAAGGCGAAATATTAACATAACAGATCCAGACACCATTCTGCAGCGAGTGCTTCGGCAAGAACCGTTCGCGGTACTACTCCGAGCAGCATTTCAGTATGGAGGAGGTCACGCTCCCTTGTCCATTACGTACAAGAAAAACGATATCAGTAGCTGCTTCTTCCGACCGGCGTTTGACACCGTCGAAGCGTACATAGACGGTATCTCGATGCACGACCACCCAATCACCTTGGGCAAACGCCTCCTTGGCTGCGTCGCCTGCCAGGTCATTAAAACTTCGCCAGTCTCACTCCACGAACTCACCGGTCCGCTTCCAAGGCTGGATGTTTACATGATGCAGTTCCATCAACGACCTGGAGATGCGTTCGAATATCGTCCAGCAATGCTTGCCTGTCAAGACTGGGGCGCTGCCAAGAACCTGGGCGATCTGCTGGCGATCTGTTTTTGTCCAAACTCGTCGGCCACATGAATCTTAGCACCGCTCATAAGGGTTGTGCATCAAAATCTCGGATTTCTCCGCTGGAAGTGCGCAGTGACCAGCTGGTACCGGACCGCCAACTTCTGCTCACTCCGACCGCTGCGCTGAAGGCCCCGCGCAGTGCAAAGGCCTCTGAAAACTGTTCGAACATCTCCGCACAGTTTCCACTTCCGTCTTCCTCAACTTCATGTCCTCTCTATTGTCCATCCTCTTCCTTGTCAATCGCACATGGCCTTCGCCGCACTGCCCCAGTGGGACGGTCTGGCGTGGAATAATACCAAATCCTGTCTGGCAAGGCTTGCCCTACACCGATTTGCGCGCCCGCCCGAGGATCCTTAGAGCGACTTCTTGGAAGCATCAAACGAGGTTTCGTTGGACCAAGCAGCTCGCCTAGACAAAACAACGAACATATCCGCGCAACACGGCACAGGCAAAAGCGTCATAGCCTGTGAGCAACGCGCCAACTGCCGCCCGCCCCAAGACATCCACAACGGTCGCAGCGTGCCGATTTGACAGGCAGCGCACCCCCATGACTTTGACAACGCGTCGACTTAACGCTCGCCGCACTTCTACGCGAAAGGGCGCCCTGGAGGCCGCCCAACTCACGGCGCCATGCGGCGATCGATTGGGGTCTTGCGCCTCTCTCGCCCAAGCTCGCGGGCTCGTCTGCGGAGTCGCGGCAATTTGCGACTGGGCGTTCGGGCCCGATCGGCTAGTCAAAGCCGCGCACCGCGCCAAGTTCGGCGCCGACGCTCTGGCCAACTTGGGTAAAGAACTTGTGGTCTCGCGACTGATGGGCGGCTTGTCGTTGGCCACCAGGTTCGCCTTGAAGCAGGACAGGATGCGCCAAAATCTGGATCTCGGGGGGACCTTCATCATCCAATGCGCCAGCCGTAAGATTTGCCCATGTCCCAAGCCGTCGAACAACTTCCCCGACACTTGCGGCCTGCTCCGAACCAGCCGAGGTTCTCCGTGCAAGCAGCGTAACGACTTGGAATGACACTGGCGACGCCTCTAGTCGTTCGGGGCCTGATGAGGCTGATGATCTCAAGGGAAAGTCTCTGAGTGTCATCTCGTACATCGAATCCGCTGCCGCGACCGACGCCGCGGAAGCACGCGCAATGCCGCCGATGGCTCGTGAAGGACTGCTTTCCAGAAACAGCGAACGAACTCGCTGCAACGTTCTTACGCGGAGATCGTGGCGAATCCAGCTCTCGTGCTCTCGGGGTCCACGTAGACGATCTCCTCGTCGCCGAAAGACGCCGGGGGGAATTGCGCCAGGAGGGGCAAAGGAGAACTCGCACCGCGATGACGCCGTGCCCTAGAAATAATCGAGACGAGCGCGCACATACATCACTTGCCCGCGCCGATGCGCCGTGCGACACAGAGCTGCCCTGCGGGCCCGCGACGCTCTCATCCTGTGCAGTCTCGTCGCACATGCCCAGAGCCAGGTAGGGTTTGAGCGGGGAGTACAGCTGGCCATCACTGGCCCAGAGCTTGGATTTGGGCTGGCTTTGAGGGCGCAGCGGGGTGCGCCCAGCACCGGGCAGGGCACTCTTGCGCCATCGCAAGCACTGTCCGACGCGCCGCGGGGGGCGAAGCGCGCAGGCCAAGCCTCTCCTCGGCAAGGCGCAGTCGTTCTGTCGGCGTTCACCACGCGCCTGTGCGAATCAAGCCGCTTGTGGCAACGGCTGCAAAGCCTGCGGGTCGCGCGCAAGCCCCCCCCCCCGCGATGAGCAGGAGCAACGTTGGAGACCGTCGGCGCGCGCACTCCGCAAAGAACATGTTGTTTGCACCTGCGCGAGGCTCGACACCTGGCGAGATCCCAAACAGACCAGGGCCGCGGCGCATCAAGCAACATCCGACAACTTGAGCGAACGGAGAGCGGCCTGCGAGATTGCGAAACGATGCGCGCTAGGGAACCCACGGTCCAACCAAGGGCCACGGAAGTGCCGTCGAGCCATCAACGCGGAGCCGAAACCATGATAATAGGAAACAAACCCGCAGATGGAGACGGGGATGAATGAGAGGACGACGCGGTTGGGCATCTTCTCGGATTGAAGAGCTCAGTACTGTGTTAAAACAGCGCATCCACGACAAAATGTGAACAAAATGTCGCTGGTTCTGGTGCCTCCTACCCTTCTCTTTCTTTGGGTCTTTCCCGTAATCCGTTCTTTCGTATGCCAGCTGGTCCTGCTTTTGTCTTTCCACAGCGTCGGGGATCGCTGGTGCATCGCTGTAGTGAAGTCATTATTTATACTCGTCGGGGCCCAGCTGAGGCCGCCCAAACATGGAACATGAGTGCACATGTTGAAGCAGCGCCGTGTGACATGGGAATCATAGTTTTCATGGTGCTCCTCTGCTCGTCGTCGTCGCTGGCCTGCTGGTGCACCAGAACTGCCTTGGCCTGGCAGACCCTATAGTGCCGAACGCGCACCAGCAAATATACCCCTCAGAAACACGCGAGAGAACGCACCAGAAGAGGCGAGGAGCGAAATATAGGCCCCTCGGATGTACCCCTTTTGGGGTTGAAGAAACTCGCTCGACAAAAAATAAGTGGCAGGCAGAGTAAACGTCCATAGCAATCACGAGCACGCGCGCGCCAGGACAGGCATGGACCTGCGCGGGGCCAGGCTTTCCGCTCGGGCCTGATCTCCAAATGCTGCAACGTGCCCCTTGCACCCCTCCGGTGCTCCCCTGATCTGAGGCTGCTGTCGTTGTTGTTTTTTCTGCCCCCCTCCTGCTTGTGCCGCCACGTTGGGCCCGCCCCGCGCTCGCCTCCCCCAGGAGCGCGGCCCGAAGACACAGCACATAGGATAAGGTGGAGAAAGTGGGGAAGAGGGTCGGCGGATAAGGAGGACACCCTCCCCCTCCTCCTCCTCCTCCTCCTCCTCCTCCTCCTCCTCCTCCTCCTTCACCTCCTCCTTCCCCTCCTCTTCCTCGCCCTCGTCGTCGTCGTCGTCATCGTCCTCCTCCTCATCCTCCTCCTCTTCCCCTCTCCACCTTTCGTGCTCCCCTTCCTCATCCACCTCCGTTGCCCTTCGCGCGGGACCGTCTGTATCTCGATCTGCTTCGCTGGAGATGTCGCCCCGGGCCTCCCTGAAAACAGAGGTGGTGATCACGATCCCCTCTGGAATAATTATCTCCTTCAGAACTGCTGCCTGCGGAGAACTTCGGGAAGAGTATGAGACGACAACGACTAAGACGAGGACGAAAGTGAGAAGGCGGAGGAGACAAATGCCCTCAGGAATGGGCAGGTGTTTCAATTGCGCTGCCTGTGCAGAGCTTCTGTGTTGGCGCCGAAAGGGCCAGCGCTGCGCGCCCACGAGATTCAGTACGAACAAGAAGCCCTCGAGAATGGGCGCGTGCTTCGACTGCGCTGCCTGCGGATAGCTTCTGTATCCGTGCCGAGGGTCAGGGCTCTGTACGCTCGCGAACGACATCACTCGAAAGTGTCCAACGCCACATGCTGCAGTCTTGACATGTCTTCACCGCCCCTGATCCAAGCACCCTAGACAAGGGTGGGAGACCAGCGAGGGAGAGAGATGGAGGGAAGGAGGCGGTAGGCGCAAGAAAGAGAAAGAGAATAGGAGGAGGGAAGCAAACATCAGGGAGGAGAAGGGAGGGCGGGAGGGAGGCAGGAGTGAGGGAGGAGTATGGTTGAGGAGGGATGGAGGGAAGCGTGACGAGGAGGGGAGGGGAGGAGCGAGAAGCGAAAAGGGTTGGAGGAAGATGAGAAGGAGGGACCTGAAAAGGAAGAGGAGTGAGGAGGACGAAGAGGAAGGATCTTTGGAGGTAGGGAGGAGGAATACACGGATCATCTCCCCAATGCGAGTCGTTCTTGCCGTGACGTCAACTCTTCTCCTGATCAGTGCGCTGTTGACTTGATTGAACGATGCGAAGAGGGGGCTAACATTGAACAGAGTAATGATGGCTGGCAAATACACATCCGCCTTTGGCATGCATCCCATCGTTCCATAATTTTGCAAGCTCCACGCGCACTCATTTGCACTCTCTCCCTCTCTCTCTCTATCGATCCCCTTTCTCTATCTCTGACTCTCTCTCTCTTTCTCTCTTTCTCTCTCTCTCTATTCTATATATGCCTCTATCCCTCTCTCTCTCTTGTTACCCCCTCTCTGACATATGCGCATCTCTTTCTACCTCTCTCCCACCTCCCTCTCTCACCATCCTTCTCGGCCACGCTGCACGCCACTGCGGCTGCCACCTATGACCGACGCGCATCACGCGAGCCCTTCCTCCACACCGGAGGGACAATGTCACAGCCGCCGAGCTTCTCGAGAAAGAACTCCATTCGTCCACTCGCGCGGACTACGAGGCAAGCGAAGCACAGGCGCGGGCTGACTCCGCCCCCATCAGCGAGGCCGACCTCGACTGCTTGCTCGAGTCTCAGGACCTGCTTGATAAGGCATTTGTGGAGGACGACTGTGATCAATTCGGCATCGGATGCGGTATGGACGGCCCACCCGAGCTCAACGAACCACACCCTCCTCGACGGCCCAGCGGCCGACACGCTGGACCCACCCATCCAAGAGGCCCAAACAGGGCGCCCAGCGCCAGTCAGTGAAGCCCTCGCCACCGCCTGGGCCGTGCATCCCCTGTCGGGTGAGCGCGCAGCGCCAGCCGACGTGTGCGCGGTGCCTGCCACGCGCAGCCGGGGCCGACTGTAGAGGGCAGAAAATCCACCCCGATAGTAGCCACCCCGACACGCGAAGCCGTTTAGGAAATGCACCCAAAGAAAGAATCAAACAGGGCAGGGCTGTTTAGTAAATGCCCAGGGCCGTTTAGTAAACGCCACTTATCCAGTCCTGGCGTGTTTTCCTCCCTCGAGATTGGTCCCACTCTCCGACGACGAGCTAGAATATGCCGTCGACGCCAGGACTGCGGCCCTGGCAGAGCCCCTCGCCCTCGACGGTATCTCTCAGCCCAACGCGAGTTCCAAACCAGGCGAGCGAGACTCCCAGCCGTCGGCCGCCACGGACCCTTACGTCCTAGGAGCGCAGCGGGCTATGGACGCGTGGGTGGACCACCTGCATCACATCGCGGAATAGTGGCTCTCCGACCTGGCCAACAACGGTCTCTGGATGCATTGCTGGACCGAAGATATCCTCGACGTCCTTAGCGCCATCCATTCGTCCTTCTTCCGCCCGCCTTGCGAAGATCTCCGGCCTTCGAAACATGCTCGAATAAGGCAGCGCCACGCCTGGGAGATCTGCGAGAAGGGGCAGCGGACTGCAGCGACGGGCTCGCTCTGACGCCATCCGGCAGCTGAAGGCATGACCCTTCGCGCCGCTTTGGACGACATGAGCGCGCGACGGTAGCAGGCTATGCAGGCCTGCATGGCCGAGATGACCTCTCACAGCGCCCGCGGGCCCCTCCCCCTCGCATGCCTCAGGCAATGCTGGAGCTCCCGTGGCGGCCTTGGGCGCCACGCTGCGGCCCTCGACCGCGACAGTCCCAAGATACCGCGTGCCCTGGGTGGCGCTGGCGGGCACGCAGACGACGGGCTGCACCATGATGCAGCGCCGTCGAACGGTCCTCCCCCGCCAAGGTGTCGCGCAACCGGCGGGGCGGCACCCGACCGCCCGGGACTCAGGCGCCACCACTCGACATTCTTCTCGCCTGACGGCGTGGCAGGAACACATCCCTTGGCCTCGGACAACGGTCGCCACGCTTGCAATGCCAACGCCAGCAGCGCCTGTATAGTTACACGTCGTCCATTTCTAATCGTGCTCATTTCTTGTTGCGTTCGTTTCTAAGTGCTCCTGGCCCCCTAGTGGCCAGGAAGGGGCCCAGGATAGAACAATTAGACACGAAAAGATCTTGGCCGCACCAAAAATCAAAGAATTTACGAAGGCTTAGACATGAGCAGTGTGTAAGTATATGCCCTCTGGCTGGCGCGATGTTCCCAAGCGCCCCGCCAGGGCCGCCAGTCGCCCCATCCCGGCTCGAGGGGCCTGCTGGAGCTCGCGGCATCCCCTTGCCCCTGTCGCTTACTCGCCACGCCGCCATGCCAGCAACGCTCACTCGCTTCGCCGACGCGACACCGCCGATGCCGCTGCCCACCTCGGTGCTGCCAATGACGGACACGGCTCACGTGCACTCGTTATTGGACAGGTGGACGTCCTTCTTGATGAACGCACCTGTTGAGCAAATCACGAAACGATGCTGTGGACTGCAAAAGAAAACATGCCAATACAGAGAGCAGCGTGCATGTAAAACATAAACCACGCCACGATACCAAAAGTGATCTACCAGCCCGACTGCAGTGGAAGTAGCAACCAGGCCACGTTGGCTCCGACGGACACCAGCTTCGGCCACGCGGAGGCCACAAGCCACGCTGCTGCCAGTTCTCCCGAGCACGCGCAGGTCGTGCTCTGCGGGCTGGTGCCGCCGCCGCCCCACCTGGTCATCGCCGACGACCGCGCGTTATCCAGTCTTGACGGCCATCTGTGGACCCACTGGGGTCGAGCTGGGCAACTTCTTCCAGCAACTGGCTGCCTTCGCGACCGCCACCGACACAGTATGCAGTCGGAGAAAAAATTGGAAACGAAATGCTCCACTTTTCGCATGGACGCAATTGAACACACCTGATATCAACGGCAACTCACATCAGTCACATCCGGCGCTGCGCGCACGTCGAAAAGACGTGGGCCAAGAAGATTGACAAAAATTCTGCACCGTGTGGATCGCGCCTGGGCGGCGGCCCCATCCGCTCGGCGGCGGCCCCATCCGCGCTCGAACCGCCTTGAGACTGTCCGACTCTTAATTTTGTAATATAACAAATCAGAGTCGGATGCGTCTCAAAATCCGCACGGCATGGTATGGATTCACACGATGGCGGTCTCCAAGTGGTTTCAAATAGTATCAAACGGTCTCAAAGTGCCCCGAAACCTTCGGCGCCGAACACATCCGCGAGTCTCACATGGTCTCACAGTGCCACCAAACCCTCAGCGCCGAACGCAGTCGCGCGTCTTCCAGGCTTTCAAATCACCCCGAAACCCGCGGCGCCGAGGCCATCCGCGAGTCTCACATGGTCTCAAAATACCACGGAACCCTCGGCGCCGAACGCAGTCGCGCGTCTCAAAGGGTCTCTTACACTGGCTGGAAACCATTGGCGCCGAGCACATCCGCGCGACCCACGTGGCCTCCCAACGCCACGAAACCCTCAGCGCCGAACGCATTCGCGCGTTTCGAAGGGTCTCGCAATGCGCCGAAACCCTCGGCGCCGAGCACATCCGCGAGCGAGCTCTTGAACACCGTTCAATGCGAGGGAGAGGCGGGAAGTCAAGCTAAGTGCGCTCGCGTCATAGCTGACGTCCTACCTTTCCCTACCATCACTCACAATGGTGCTGCTGTTTCTCTATCCGCGGACGCGTGTTGTAGCGGAACTGTGACTCCGACACGAGAAGCGTCTGGCAAGACCATGGGGTAGAATGTACGTGTGGTGGTGACGTGCGTGCGTGGTGATGGTGGCGGCGTGTGTGTGTGTGTGTCTGTGTGTGTGTGTCTGTGTGTCTGTGTGTGCGTGCGTGTGTGCGTGCGTGCGTGCGTGCGTGCGTGCGTGCGTGCGTGCGTGCGCGCGCGAGTGTGTGTGTGTGTGCGTGCATGCGCATGTGTGTGTGTGTGCGTGTGTGCGCGTGCGTAGTGGTTGGTGGTGCGCGTGCGTGCGTGCGTGCGTGGTATGTGCGTGCGCGTAAATAAGGCGACGCACTGCAACGCAAGGCCATGCACAGCAATGGAGCCGAAACGGCCGCACGCATTGGATTAAATCTGGACATCGCGCTTTCGCGCAAGGCATTCAGTACCACTGCGACCCTAATGGCGACGCCGCGAAGAACGTGGCTCCCACGCGAGCGCGATATCCATTTCCAGACATTTCTTCTCGGATTGTATCTTCAAGGCTCTGCGGCGTCAGCTCCCCGGAGCCCCATCGCACCGCCTGCCACCCCACCTGTGGATGCGGCCCCGACGAATCTCTGCCCCCCCGCGGCCGAGCGTGGCATGGGCTTCTGGGTCTTGTCTGCCCGCCGTGCCGCTCGCCGCTGCTATCGCTGCGGCGCGGGCTGCTCTGGGCCGCGTCGGAGCGGCGGCGGCCTCGCCCGCAGATGCTTCAGCGCACCAAGGGCGTAAATGGCATCCTCCGCGTGCCTGCCGTCCTATCACGATCCGCGCCGTACATCGCCTGCGATCTCCTGGACACGTCACGTCTCAGGAGGGCGGGCGCACGCCCGCCCTCGAGTGCAGCTCGCGCGCGCCTGCGCCCTCCACGGTGCGCTCCGCGCGCGCTCAGCGTCCAAGTCGGGCATCCCAGGGAGCCTCCAAGACATGCCAGCGCAGCTGGCTGCGCACCCTGCGTCCGCTGCAGCCGCCACGGAGCCCGTTCAACGTGCCCGCCAGGCCGCCCGCACGGTGCCCCAGCGGTGGTTCCTCACTGCGGCCCATGGCACCTCGCCGGGCAAGCGGACCACGCGTTACGCCCTCGCGCCTGGCGGGGTCTCCCAACTGGTGCCGTTCATGCCGCCACGCCGCGGGCCAGTATGCCAAGGCTTCACGGCCCAGGCACGTTTCTCAGACATAGTTCGATCATACACAATCGCGTTTCGTAGGTCTTTGTCGGTTTGGGGGGTGCTCCCCACGCGCTTGCATTGCTTCGCCTCCAAGAGGCTCGCGCAAGGTGCGCTTGTCCCGCCCGCGCCCGGACTTCGGTCTCCATATCGTGCGCATTCCCTCTGCCTCTTCCTCTCTCCCTGTCCCTGTATATTCTTATATAATTTACTTCCTGTCGCGAGCTATCCCTCTTGGTATCTCCCATGTCTCCTCTTCTCTCTTTCTCTCTGTAGCCTCGGCTCGAATTCACAAATGAACGAGCCCCAAACTGTCCACCACCTGCGGGTCTTCCGCAAACCCAGCCTGGTGAAGCCAAGCGTTCTCTAATGGAATAAACGAACAACGCTTAATTATTTCGTGCGTGCAACAATCTCCCGCGGAATGGCAACCCACGCGAATCGGCACGGGCCACCCCTTCACTTGTGGCCCGCTGGATACGGCCACGGCCTTGCTAGCCGACCGCGGCTCCCGCTCTTGGGCTTGAAGGGGTCACCTGACAGGCGCAACCTCGCCGCACGCCGCAAATTCAGCATGCCAAAGCTGATGGTGCTTTGTACAACGGTACGTGCAGATTGCCGCGCAGCCGTCGAGCAGACCTATACCTCTGCCTGAACTGTGACACATATATACATCTCTCTCTCTCTCTCTTTCTCTCTCCCTCTTGGCCTCTCCGCACTTCCCATGGAAACAACAAGTTGCGCAAACCAAGTCGTTTCCTTCAGCTTGTGCAGCACGGCTGCCTTGCCTCCTACGTCCTCGGGGCTCAGCGAGGGAGCGCATCCCCCAAGAGTCGCCTGCTCAATGCTTCTGCGTCCTCCATATCATCGTCGTCGTCGTCGCCCTCCTCCTCCTCCTCCTCCTCCTCCTCCTCCTCCTGCTTCCCCTCCTAATCGCCTTCTTTCTCATATTGCTCCTCCTAGAGCTGCTTCTCCTGCTCCTGCCCCTCCCCCCCTTTTCCCTCTCCCCCTCCTCCCCCTCCTCCTCCTCCACCTTCTCCTCCTTTTCCTGCTTCTCCTCCTCCTCCTCCTCCTCCTCCTCCTCCTCCTCCTCTCATCATCATCATCATCATCATGATCATCATCATCATCATCATCATCATCATCATCATCATCATCATCATCATCATCATCATCATCATCATCATCATCATCAACATCATCATCATCATCATCACCGTCCCCCTCCTACTTCTCCTCCCCATCACCGGCCCACTTCTCCATCTCCTCGTGACCATAAGCAAGACTCGGAGGGGAGGATGGGGGGAAGAGGAGGGGGAGGAGAGGAGGAGGAGGAAAAAGAGGAGGAGGAAGAAGAGCAGAAGAAGGAGGAGGAACAAAAAGTTGTGCTCACGAAAAAAGGGGGCTGATGAATTGGGAGGAGAAAGAGGTGGACAGGGGAGGGGAATGATGATGATGATGATGATGATGATGATGATGATGATGATGATGATGATGATGATGATGATGATGATGATGATGATGATGATGAGAATGAGAGGAGGGAGAGGAGGAGGAGGAGGGGAGGTGGAGGAGGTGGAGGAGGAGGAGGAGGAGGAGGGAGAGAAGGAAGAGGAGGGAGGAGGAGGAGGAGGAGGAGGAGGAGGAGGAGGAGGAGGAGGAGGAGGGAGGAGGAGGAAACGGAGGAGGAGGAGGAGGAGGAGGAGGAGGAGGAGGAGGAGGAGGAGGAGGGAGAGGGAGAGGGGGGAGGGAGGAGGGAGGAGGGAGGAGGGAGGAAGGAGGACGGCGGAAGGAGGAAGGAGGAAGGAGGATGAGGAGAAGGAGGAGGGAGGAAGGCGGAGGAATCCCTGGGGTCTGCAGCTCCCGGCGTCTCTGGCCAGGAAGGTGGTGCCGCAGATGCACTGCCTCGGGGCGCTCCTGCCGTTTGTCCGCGGCGGGGCGGCGGCAGAAGAGCTCGGCGCCGACCCAGCGCAGCTGAGCTTCGCGCCGACGGCGGCCCCGGCGACGGCGACCGAACACCTGGCCGCCTACCTCGGGAAGCTTCGCGGCCTGCGGGCGCACGGCCTCACGGCGCAGGACGAAGTGATCCTCGTAAGGACATTCGCAAACGGAGCTGCGCTGCACCACGCCCGGGCGCACCTGCTCAGCGAGGACTGGTGCCAGGACTACGACCGCAAGGTGGTGGCGCATCTGGAGGGTTTGCTCGGGCGACCTCTGCCGCCAGACGCGCGGGAACAGCTGTTCCTTCCCTTGGCAGAGGGAGGGATGGGCTTGCACAGCATGGCCCAGCGCAGGCGCGCCGCCGTCGCCGGATCGTGGCTTGCTTGCCTGGCCGACGTTCGGCGGGAACTGGACGAGGCCAGCTTGGGGGCTTTCGCCTCGAGCTGCCCCATGCTGTGGGGCGCGGCGGAACGGGTCGGCAAAAAGCTCCGCTTCGGGGCTGGCGAGTGGCACCAGGCTGCAGCGGAGCCGAGATGGAAGGCGCAGAAGGCCCTTGCGCACCGCGAGCTGGACGAAAGCCGCAAGCAGCTCCTGGCAGTGCTGCCCCCGGAGCAGGCTGAGGCGCAGGCAGCTGGCTGCTCCCGCCGACGCTGGACGAGCACCGCCTGGCGGACGAGCACTTCCTGGCAGCGCTGGGGCTGCGCCTCCGCCTCCAGCGGCCCGCCGACTCCTGCGCCACCTGCCAGCGCCGCCGCGCCGACGGGCACCTCTGCGGAGCGGACCTTGCGCGGGCCCCGACCCACCCCCTGGACTGCCATGCTGCCGCAGGCACGATAGCGCGCCACAATGCCATCCGCGACTGGCTCGCGCGCTGGCTGAAGGAGCGCGGGGCGAGGGGCGTGGGCACTGAACAGCTGGTCCCCACTTGGGACAGGGTCCACCAAGACGGCCGTCTGGAAGCGGCGCGCCTGGACGTTACTTACGTGGACCCAGTGGCAGGCACCGCGTATGTGGACGTCGTGGTGACCAACGCCGCAGCCAGGGCCGCGACTCCAGCAGGGCGGGGCCGAGCCTGGCGCGACGGAGCCGCGGCGGCCGCGGCAGAGGAGCAGAAGCACCGCCGCTACCCTGGCGCGGCACTGCGCGCTTTCGCGCTCGAGACGCTAGGCCGGCCAGGGCGCGAAGCGCAGGACCTCCTGCGCACCTGGGCGGCCGGCGACGCGACCGCGCTCTCGGCGGCGCGCCAGAGCCTGGCCGCCGCGCTCCAGAGGGCGAACGCCGAGGCTTACAACACCTCGGTGTGGCCGCCCGGCCGCCGCGCCCTGCCGCGCCTCTTGAGGCGCTGAGCGGTGCCGGGGCTCCTCGCGACCAGGGGAGGGTCGCCGCGCCGCGGGCGCGCAGGCGCTGAAGCGCGGACGGCGGGGGCGACGCTGCCCGCTTGCTCTTTTCCAGGCGCCCTTTGCCCCTCTTTCTTCCTCCCTTTCCCCTCCACACTCGCTGTGTCCGTTGTTATAGCTTTTGCTGCTGTTTTTCTGTTCAGTCCCCTCTCCTCCCCTCTCCTTCCCCGCTCCGTGCCTCCGGCGGGTGGCGCGAGCGCCTAAGGGGGGGGTCTGGTGGCTCACGCCTCCCCGCCGCGCGCCCGTCTCCTCCGCCTTCCGGTCCCTCCTGGCTCCCTCCTCCCTCCTCACCTCCACCCCTTGCCGCTTTTGGAAGTGCGCCCTGTCGCGGGCGTCTGGGTGGTTTTCGGCCTTCCACCCGGGCGCCGACAAAAAACCCTGGATGGGTGCGCTTCCATATTTTTCTCGTTGCCTGTGGACGCTAGATCTTTTCCTCGCCCCATCGCTTCTTGACCGCTTGTTCTTCCCTTGCTCGCTTCGTGTCCGCTTTCTCTTTCTCTTTCAGTGAGAGGAGAAGGAGGAGGAGGAGGAGGAGGAGGAGGAGGAGGAGGGGGAGGAAACGGAGGAGGAGGAGGAGGAGGGAGAGGGAGAGGGGGGAGGGAGGAGGGAGGAGGGAGGAGGGAGGAAGGAGGACGGCGGAAGGAGGAAGGAGGAAGGAGGATGAGGAGAAGGAGGAGGGAGGAAGGCGGAGGAATCCTCCTCCGCCCCGCCGTGTCCTCGATGCTTGGCGGCGGCCCGACCCCGAGGCGCAGCACGCGGCTGGGCGCCGCGTTGCGCGCATGGCAGCGCTGCAGCAGCCAAGACATTTCGATGCCCGTGCCGGTTCGGGCTCAGCAGCGCCGGCCTAGTGCGCGGTGGCCTCAACGAGGTAATACGGCTCGATGAGGAGGAAAAGGAAAAGGACGAGCAGGAGGAGGAAAAGGAGGAGGAGGAGGAGGAGGAGTCCAGGAGGAGGAGGACGAGAAGGATGAGGAGGAGGAGGAGGAGGAGGAGGAGCAGGAAATGCGGGAGGAGTAAGAGGAGGAGGAGGAGGAGGAGCTCCAGAGAATGAGAATTGGATTCCTCCTCCTCATGCTTTCCCCATGTTCCTCCAAATGCTCCCACTCCTCCATCATCATCCATCTCTTCCTCCTCATCCTCCAACTTATCCTCCTCACTCTCTCGTCCTCTTCTTACTCCCTCTCCCGCTCCCGCTCCTGCTCCTGCTGTTGCTGCTGATGCTCCTCCTCCCACTCCACTCGTCCCGCTCCCACTCCCGCTCCTCGTCCCGATCCTCCCCCATTACTCATCCGCCTCCACTCCTGTCTTGGCCAAAAACGAAGTGCCCAGGCGCTGAATTGCGGGCGCCAGCACGCCCCGTGCGGCTGGAGGCTCCGAAACTTCAGGCAACACTGGAGCGGTGGTGCTCATAATCGGCTGCCGCAGCTTGGAGGTAAGTTCTTTCCTGCTAGCGGAGCGCGTCGTGGGTAAGCTCCTCCGATGCACCCAGCGCAGTGACGCCGTCAACACTGCGGCAACTAAACCTAGAGGCCAGGTGGCAGAGGTTATAGTTCCGCCGCAAACTTATTCCATCGGTGGATTCGAGGTGATCAACGAGGTCACGGGTGCGCACGATCAGCCGCTAGAGATCAAACAGGAGACGCAGTTTCCTTGTTCGAGCAGGGCCACCAGGGCAAAACGCTCGACTCCGAAACCCATTGCTACGAAAAGGAACAATTAGTACTATCAGCAAGACCCGTTCTAGATCATGGGCAATATTGACCATTGCTGCCAATATCTTCTAAATACGGCGTTGGATCGCGCTTTCGAGAATCTCGATAATCACATCGAGGATTTCAAGTTTCAATGCTGTCACGTGGAGCAGAACGCCTTTCGCGCCCAACATGTTGAAGACCAGGAAGGAATCTGACAACGCAAAGGGCTCGAACGCAATTTCGAGAGCAAGGCGCCCGATTCCGGAACTGAATGGAGGATCGCAACGCCGACGAGAACAAGCAGGAGCTCGAAATCAGTGCAGACCATATCTCCAAGGGCCTCCCTGGGCAAATAATTGAATCACGCACTGGGGAATTGTGGGGGACTGGTGAGGGCGTCCAGAGTCCAAGCCCACAGCGTGGATCAGCCATCAGTTCATGCAGAAGGTCTTGACAAGAAGGACAACATCGAACAAAACGTATGATTATCTTGTTATGCGACTGAGCATGTTAAGAAGCAGACTGAATTGCCTGCGGATCCGGAGTTGCCACATACAGAATGTGTGTGGTAACATTCCTGGCAACGATGAGGACACCGATGATGCGTGGCCCAAACGATGGCAAGCTCCCCTCCCCCTCCCTCCCCGCGAAGGAGGAGCAGGATGAGGAGGAGGAGGAGGAGGAGCAGAAGGGAGGGGGGCGATTACTTGGTGAAAAAGTTGTTTCAGATGGGCATCAAGGTGAATGGGCAGACGTTCGACGCAACGGAGGCACTCGACACCCCATCTGGCTACCATAAGCTCATTCTTAAGCAGCGTGCGGCGGCCTTGAGACGGGCAGAGCAGTCTCCCTCCGCCTTCTTTCCTCTGGCCACCCTCCTTGCACAGCGCAGTCTTCAGCCAATCGTGCATGGGCGGGGAAATTAGGCTAAGAAGGGTCGGAATGTGAAATGCGCCAGGAGACATTTCAAAGCTGCAAATTTCTGCGGCGAGCGGCGAAATTGTGAAAGGAACAGTTCGCACGTACCCACAACAAGCAGCAGGGTGCTGCAGATGTAGATCCAACATCGATCCCTACTTTTCGCCTCACTTTCCTCCGATCACCATCCTTGCACACCGCCAGTCTTGCTTTAGTGGTGCGTGGACGGCGAGGTTTGGGCTGGAGTGGGCTTACAGTTGCCAGGCTCAGCGGACAGCAAAGCTTCGCGTGTAGGCAATTTCGCCCGAACCCAACATCAGCAAAAACGAGCGGTGCGAGTGGATCCACGATTGATTCCTCTCTTCTCGACCCTCTTCCCGCTTACCTCGACCGCCCTCCGTGCGCAGTGCCAATCCTGCGCTGGCCGTATAGGATCACGGTGGTCGGGGCGAGGGCGACTGATAACAAGAAGCGAGAATCGCAAGCAAAAAAAAAATACTCCTTCTCGAATACTAGTATCCGGGAAAAGCCCAGGAGGAGGACCAGGAGGAAGAAGGAGGGGGAAAAGGAAGAGGAGGAGGAGGAGGCCCCCCCCTGCATAAATTCGGCCTTGGGCGACCCCACCGCCGTGAATTCAGCACTTTCCGATCTGGGCGCCTCCACCAGACGTCCCACGCCGCCGAAAAGGCCTCCGGATCGCTTCCTGGACGGTCCCGAGACGGCTCAAGCCCGCTCCGGGGCGTCCACTTGCTTTCCATGGGACGCACGTAGACGTACTAGTACTATATGTCCTCCTCGGAGGCGCGCGGCCGACCCAAACATAGTATACTCATATGGCCAGAAAGCGCCCGCCACGACGCATATAATATAAGATTTCTCGATGCGCGCGTCGCCCCGGGGCGACGAACACATAGTATGAGTATGTCGGGGTGACGCCGATTCCAGACGGCCCAGAAAATCGCCAAGGCGCCTTACGAGGGCTCCAAGATGATAGCTGCGAAGCGAGATCCGTTGATTTTCCTGTATTCCCCACATGTTTAGTGGGGTTATGGTTTTCTTCACTGCCGCGCCGCACCCGCGTCTCACACCTCCTCCTCCTCCTCCTCCTCCCCCTCCTCTTCCTTCCTCCCTCACCCACAGCACAGCACAGCACAGCAAATCAAAGCACACACATACACACGTCTCATACCACCCTCCTCCTCCTCCTCCTCCTCCTCCTCCTCCTCCTCCCTTTCCTCCTCCTCCTCCTCCTCCTCCTCCTCCTCTGTTTCTCGACGCCAGGGGGGGTGCGCAGGGGGTGGTCTCTCACCGCGGCCGCTATCCACGACACTGTTTCTCGACGCCAGAGGGGGGTGCGCAGGGGGTGGTCTCTCACCGCGGCCTCTATCCACGACACTGTTTCTCGACGCCAGAGGGGGTGCGAAGGGGTGGTCTCTCACCGCGGCCTCTATCCACGACACTGTTTCTCGACGCCAGAGGGGGTGCGCAGGGGGTGGTCTCTCACCGCGGCCGCTATCCACGACACTGTTTCTCGACGCCAGAAGGGGTGCGCAGGGGGTGGTCTCTCACCGCGGCCGCTATCCACGACACTGTTTCTCGACGCCAGGGGGGGTGCGCAGGGGGTGGTCTCTCACCGCGGCCGCTATCCACGACACTGTGTCTTGACGCCAGAGGGGGTGCGCAGGGGGTGGTCTCTCACCGCGGCCGCTATCCACGACAGCTCCAGGACGGCCCAAAGAAGCCCTCAAACCAGCCCAAGAGGAGCCCAATACGGCTCAAGATGCGCCCAAGACCGCCCCAAAAGATCTGGCGGGCATGGTCTCACAAGGCCGGCTGGGCCAGGAAATGTTGGTCGATACCATAGAAAGAAACATTCGGGTTGCCCCCGCTGTCTCTGTCTGTGCCTGCCTCTCTGTCTCTCTGTCTCTCTCTCTCTCTCTCTCTATCTCCCACTGCGCCTCCAAGCCGCACTGGCACGAACCCCAGGCACAGGGCGGGCCCGAGGCAGGACACGGGACCCGCCGAAGATGGCCCACAACGCTGCCCACCCCGCGTTGGCAAGGCAGGGGCGGGACTAGGCCCGCGGAAACTGCGCCCCACCCCGCCGATACGGAGCATCTGCTCACTTTCGGCGGACGGGGGCGGGGTTGGGCCCGCAGGGGCGTGCCCTCAAGGAGCTCGCGAAAACTGCGGGCCAGCAATGCATGGCCCCCTGCTCGCCGAACCCAAGCGAGGAAAGGCTGCGATTGGGCTCGCGGAAACTGCGGCCACCCCCAAAAAAGACCCGCAAATCCCCTCACCCCAAAAAGACCAGGAATAAAGGCACTTGGGCTCGCAAAAACTGCGGGCCCCCAAACAATGGCCCGCAGATCCCCTCACCAGAAAAAGCTGCGATTGGGCTCGCAGAAACCGCAGGCCAACGCAGAATGGACCGCAAATCTGTTGTGGGATTGGGTTCGCGGAAATTGCGGGCCAGAAAAAATGGCCCCCGCCCGCAAAACTCCTCACCCCAAACAAAACAGGACAGGCAGCGATTGGGATAGCAAAAACTGCGGGCCCCCACAAAATAGCCCGCAAATCTCCCCACCACAATAAGACCAGGACTGCCTGCACTTGGGCTCGCCAAAACTGCGGGCCAAAAAAATGGCCCGCAAATTTCCTCACCCCAAAAAGACCAGAAAAGCCTGCGATTGGGCTCACAAAAACTGCGGGCCACAAAAAAATGGCCCGCACATTTCCTCACTCCGAAAAAACCAGGACAGGCCGCAATTGGGCTTGCAGAAAGTGCGGGCCCAAAAAGAATGGCCCGCCAATCTCAAGCGCATGCGGCCTGTGCCACTGGGGCCTTCGGTGGAACTCCCTATGGGCCACGAGCCGTGTGAGGGGCGTGCCAGAATGGGCATCGGGCACATGCGGCCTGTGCCACTTGGGCATCGGTGGAGCTCCCTATGGGGCCACGAACCGTGTGAGGGGTGTGCCAAAATGGGCGCCAGGCGCATGCGGCCTGTGCCACTGGGGCCTTCGGTGGAACTCCCCATGGGGCCACGAGCCGTGCGAAGGGTGTGCCACACTGGGCGTCGGGCGCTTGCGGCTTGTGCCACTGAGGCCTTCGGTGGAGCTCCCTATGCACGAACCGTATGAAGGGCGTGCCAAACTGGGCGCCGGGCGCATGCGGACCCTGCGCCGCTGGGCGG